GCACGACTACCCTGGGTTGCGTAACTTGCATGGGTTCCACAACTGGCCTAGGTTGCACAATTGGCCTCGATTGCAGAACAAGCATGGGTTGCACAACTGGCCTGGGTTGCACAGCATGCCTAGGTTACACAACAAGTATGGTTTGCACAATAGGCCTGGGTTGCAGAACTGACCTGGGTTGCATGACTCGCCTGGGTTGCACAACAAGCATGGGTTCCACAACTGGCATCGGTTGCACAACTGGCCTAGGTTGCAGAACCAGCATGGGTTGCACAATTGGCCTGGGTTGCACAACTAGCATGGGCTGCACAAGTGGCCTTGGTTGTGCAGCGGGTATGGGTAGCTGAACTGGCCTGGGTTGCACAACTGGTCTGGATTAGACAACTGGCATGGGTTGCACTATTAACATAGGGTGCACAAGTGGTCTGGGTTGCGTAATTGACATGGGTTGCACCACTGGCCTGGGTTGCATAACTGGCATGGGTTGCATAGGTGGCTTCGGTTGCATATCTAGCATGGGTTGCACAACTCGTCTGGGTTGCACAACTAGCATGGGTTGCACAACAGGCCTGGGTTGCACTACTGGCATGGGTTACACAACTTACCTGGGTTGCACAACTGAATTGGGTTTCACAATATGCATGGGTTGCACGACTGGTGTGGGTTGCACAATTGGCATGTATTGCACAACTGGCCTCGGTTGCACTACCAGCATGGGATGTACAACTTGACTGGGTTCCACAACTAGCATCGGATGCACAACTAGCCTGGATAGTAGAACTGGCATAGAAAGCACAATTGGCCTGGGTTTCAAAATATCATGGGTTGCACAACTAGCATGGGTGGTATATCTGGCATGGGTTGCACAACTGGCATGGGTTTCACAACTGGCATGGGTTGCACAACTGGCCTGGGTTGCACAATAGGCATGGGTTGCACAACTAGCCTAGGTTGCAAAACTGGCATGGGTTGCACAATTGGACTGGGTTGCACAACTGGCATGGGTTGCACTACTGGCATGGGTAGCACAATTGCCCTGGGTTGCATAACTGGCATGTATTGCACCGCTGGCCTGGAATGCACAACTGGTCTAGGTTGCACTACCGGCATGGGTTGCACAACTGCCATGGGTTGTATATATCTGGCATGGGTTGCACAACTAGCATGGGTTGCACAACTGGCATGGGCTGCACAACTGGCCTTGGTTGCACAACTGGCATGGGTTGCACAATAGGCCTGGGTTGCACAACAGGCATGGGTTGCACAACTGGCCTAGGTTCCAAAACTTGCATGGGTTGCACTACTAGCATGGGTAGCACAAATGGCCTGGGTTGCATATCTGGCATGTATTGTACCACTGGCCTAGGTTGCACAACTGGCATGGGTTGCACAACTAGCGTGGGTTGCACTACTGGTACGGGTAGCACAGCTGGCCTGGGTTGCATTACTTGCATGTATTGCACAACTGGCCTGGGTTGCACAAGTGGCCTAGGTTACACTACCGGTAATGGCTGGCTCGACTCGGGGTTTTATTGACGAGCCAAGGGCCGGCTCGACTTTGGCTCAGCTCGGCTCGACTCGCCTAGGGGTTTCTCATGCAATTCTTAACAAGACCTATAAGACGCCCGTTTTGGTGGATCTTGGGTCCCCTAATGGCCTGCTGGTGCCCAAATACGAGTTTCCCAGTGCCCGAATAACCTAAAACACACTAAAAAATGCATAACTGAACTTAAGGAGTGACATTAGTGGAGCGTAGGCATGCTAGGATGGGTGGAGGGTCTGGGGAGTGCTTAGGGTTGCTGGAAATCGGAAACCAGATATGGGATTTGATGTCCAGGGGGGGTCGATCGAATTTCAACCCCCGCGGGCGAGCCTTGTGACTGGACGGTCGAGCAAAAACGAGCCGGCTCGAATTCGGCTCGACCAAAATATTGTGATTTTTGGTCGACTGGCTCGACTCGGCTCAACTCGGGGGCGAGCCGGCCAAAAAAAAAAACCGGCTCGACTCGCCCCGGGTATATAATTATGGGCTATCTAGGTTAATGGCTCGGTCTGAAGTGGGTGCAATTAAAACAAGAGACGATGCAATCGTCTTAGGGTTGCGAAGCTTATATTATATAGATATATTAGTTCTATATAAATATACATGGTTAGGCTAGTTATCGAAAGTCAAAGCGTTAGTATCTGTTAACACATAACAATGGATTAATACATATACTATGTAAGCATGCAATAGATAAGTTGTGTCATAGTGCATCAATAGAAGTACATGAAATCACAATGTAAATGCATCTAATACAATTAGGACATACAATTGACTATGTACGTATATTTATATTATATAAATTTGGGCTTTAACTTGGGCGACTTGCGTTACTGTTCTAAAATCGTTCCACGCTGTTTGAATCGGCTTCTTTGTTGTTCGTTTCTGCTTGTACAGTTTTCTTGAATAGTTTATTCCTTATTGTTCCACTGTAGACCTGTTTCCGTAATGTGTCTTCTGTTTTTTGTGCGTTTGAAATGTTTTTTCGCCTTTCCGCCAAATGCCCAGCCGTCGGGAGTTACCGTTTTAATTTTGTTTGATCACGTGTTGACAGCGGCCACTGTTGACTTGTGGAGAGCAAATCTGGCCACCTGGCAATGCTATTTTTTGGCGTAGAAGCAAGGCGCGTCACGCGTAACTGCCAGACGGAATTAGATCCGACGTGGCAATGACACCAGCCTAGCTACACTGGCCACAGAATTACGCGTTACACACTCGAATTTCTAAGTTACACTACCGATAATTTTTGTTAAATAACACTATTACGCGAATTTCAGTGCGACGGGGCACTTTCTGACCGAAAAAAAAAAATATATATATATATATATATATATATATATATATATCTTTCAGAGCTGCAAAACCGCGGCTGTTTGAACGCAGCTCCTCTCCTCGAGGGTTCAGAACTGCAGAAACGTGACTACCTAGTGCTCTATTCTTCCTCCTCGATACCCTAGTCTCACGATTTGCTCTTCTCCAAGTCCAGCAATTGGTGATGGTAGATAACGTGATAAGGCAGCAACGTGACATCAGCTACTACTGCCTTTCTTATCTCAGCTGTACGATAGAGTTCTCCAGGTCGGTATGAATAGTGGTTTAATGACGTTTTCATGCAGTCGTATCTCATTAGTTTCTCTATGTTTCTTCTCTCATTTTTTCTCAAGCTAGTAGAGGAAACGTAAATACTCGGTACGGATTCTCATCCGCTTTCCTCCTCTATACTCCAAGCCTTCCCCTTCCTTAGCATTGAGTTCTTACTTCTCTCTTCCCATATTTGCATCCTCAGATGGCATCTTGAAGGCACGGTAATCACAATCCCTTTCCTTCCCTCCATTCACCTCCCCCACCATATCTCTCTCTCTTCCATCTACGCCGCATCTTTTATTTTCAGTTATTTGTTTTTCTCCCTTGTCCATCCCCTTCAATCCTCGTGCCACCTTCAGTTTCGTTTCCTATCTCAATCTTTCTTGCCCTTTTCATTCAATCTCAGTCCCGATCCGTGTTGCGTACGTTTTCTGTTTTTATCTTACTCTTTCTCTTTCATTCCGTTTTTTTTTTTTTTTAACTTCCTGTAGAGTTTCAGCTCGTTGAAGATGCTAACTTGCATCGTTATGGGCAAAGCAACGTGACTTTTCATTGATCTCTGAACCACGTCTATGTTTCAGTGCAACCATTTCAAACTGCTTTCTGCGCCTTGTGTAGTCACTGATCTACTAGTAACAGTAATACACTTTGTGTATTTCAAAAAGTGGAATTGTTTTCATCACTTCAAGTAAGGTTCTTGACTCTCTCTTTGAGTGCAGTCATTTGAACTGGAGGTGATAAGTGCAAACCACTTTTTGGAATTCACAAATTGTGTTGCTTTTTTCTTGTACTTTATTCTTGGCAATGGGCTTGAAGCCTCCCCCCCGGCTAGAGCTGGGGAAGCGATAGCCCAATTTTGTTGTGATGAACTAGGCTTTTTGCTTCCCCCACTTAGTTGGGGAAGCGATAGCCTTTTTTTGTCTCGACAAAAATACGCCACGAGATATGATGGGAAACAGAGGCATTGACTTCTATTTCCCATCATTGCTTTCGCTCAAGATTGATAGTGTACTATGCATAAATACGCATTACAGTATTTTTACTTATACAAGAACCAATTAGATTCAGATTTCAAGTGCTAGTAATAAGATAAAGACCATTTTTATTTCTTAAGCTATTTTTTTACCACCAAACTTGAAAAAAAATTATGTTCGATCGATTGCAATAGGTTGCTCCGCAACCCAAAAATAGCGCTTGCCATCCCCAAAATAGGTCTCAACTAGCAAGGGGAAGAACGTAAGATTGCTAAAATGCTCCTCGTATTTTTCCGTGTGTTCTTTCTCATTCACTCTCTTTCTCGCCGTTCCTTTGTGTCTTACCTCTTCCCTGCCTCCCCTTGTTGTCGCTTCCACTTGCATCCACGATTTTCATTCCACTCACCTCCTTGCTGTACAGAAGTGCAGCAGGGCTCAATCTCCGAAGCCGCGGCATCAGAGGCAGCAGCAGCTGCTGCAGCAGCAGCAGCACCAGCCAAGGAAACAGGACAGCAGGAAGCAGTCGTGGTGGCGGGGATGGAGGCAGCACGGCCACATGTGTGTCGGGAGTACTCCTTGCCAGATTTGACTAAGGCAACAAGAGATTGGGCGGAGGAGAACAGGATTGGCAGTGGCAGCTTTGGGGATGTCTTCAAGGGCGTTTCTCCGCACGACCCTGCGGAGATATGGGCCGTCAAGCGAGCCAAGTTACTCTCCAATGACTTCCAGACCGAGGTGGACAGTTCTGCTGCATCTCATGCGTTGGGCCGTGTTTTTTCAGATTCACATTCGTTCCTCCCCCTCCCACCCCGCTCATTTGTCCCGTCCTCGCGTCTCCTTCTGTTCTCGCCCCGTCCATGCATGCCCTCTCTGTTCTCTTTGTTTTGATCCCGTCCTCAGGTGAAGGAGATGGCCAGCAAGCACCACCCGAATCTGGTGCGGCTGTTGGGCTACTGCATTGATTTTGACCCGGGCACGAAGCACATCGAGCAAGTGCTTGTGTATGAGTTCATGGCGAACCAGGACCTGGAGAGCTGGATTGGACCTGGTAATGTTGTTTCTCTCTCCTGTTGTGTTCTGCCTACTCTTGAAGGTAGCATAAAAATATGCACCAGCTAACTCCGTGCCAACAGCTGCAGCAATACGGAGGGTGCAAGCGCGGTCCGGATTTCACTGGCTGCACCTCCCTTTTCTCCCTTGAGGATCTCCCTGTTGAGTGTGTCAATGCTTCTGTCTTTTCTGTCTTCTCTTTGGCTGCTGCTCCATGCTCGAACGTCGTCATTTCCCGTCGCTCGCTTGACTTCCTTTTAAGTATTTTGCATCCAGCACATCTTGCATATCCTGATTTGATTCATCCAGATTGTCCCCACAAATGGTGCGGATGGCCCTTTTTAATGCGTTCACTGCAGGTATTCCAAATGCTCTGTCGCTACAGCAGCGCCTAGACGTGCTGATTGGAGTGGCCAAAGGGCTGCATTACCTCCATGACTTTGGCATTGTGCATCGAGACATCAAGCCAGCCAACATTCTCCTTGATGCAAAAATGAAGGCATGTTGAACTAAGGTGTCCTTGAGAAGTCTGCTCAAGGACCATTATTTGCTGTACCGGATGGTCAGCATGCACCCTCTTAACCTTACTCATTTCCTTGCCACTCTATCAGTTACCCAAAAAGTCCTCTGTTTGCATGACGTCATTGCTGGTGCCTTTGTGATGGGTGAGCAGGCCAAGATTGCAGATTTTGGGCTTGTGAAGCTGAGTGGGGGCACGTCAGTGGACACATCTGTGGCGGCCACTCGAGTGATGGGAACACCTGGCTATGTGGACCCAGCCTACTACAAGTCCCACAAGGCCACATCTGCGTCAGACGTGCACAGGTGAGGTGTTGCTCCCTGTTGAGAGCAGATTCGAGGTTATGAGAGCTTTGAAACCATGGATGTTGTGAGGAGACGGAAGGAAAGGGATCTGAAGACACTTTCTGGATAGAATCAAGGACAAGCGTTTTTCTAATGGAAAAGAAGGCTTTTAACCAGCATCCACATTTCGGTCCCTCAGGACATTTGGGGGGTGACAGAAGGGGTTGGGTGTGACGATACTTTTCCATGGGCTGGTTGTTTCTGCTCCTCAGCAGCCAGTAAAATTCGAATCTGGCCTCGGGGATAGAGCAACGCAGATTTGGGGGAAGGGAGGTTGGGAAAGCCAGCAAGAATGGTGGGGGCGGAGAGGTGGAATCATCAGAAAGGCGGGAAGGGGAAATCGAAATTGAGGGGGAGAGGCGGAAACGAGATTGCGTCGGGGGAACAAATTGCACACGGGGTGCGGATTTTTGGGGGGGTGAGAGGGAGTGGGTGAGGCAAAGTGAAGTTGAGAGGGTGTTGCCGGCGCACATGGCAGATGGCAAGGGGCCCCTAGCCAATCAGAAACGGCAGAAGATAAGGGCAGCCACAGCGTACAAAAGGGGCAATATGTTGTTTTAATGTTTTCACAGTTTCGATGAGACCTGAACCTCCTACCTCTCACTCTATGGTGTAACCCCCTTTCCATGTAAAACAAGAGAAAGAGCAGCACCGAAATGTAGACGCTGGCTTCAATGGGTTAGCTTTTGCATATAATATTCGGGCTTCACACTCAGTCATACAATGAATGCTCCTGGGCCTATTGTATTGCACATATGTATTTAAGTACTGTTTTCTAACCTGCTTCACAAGACCAAGTGCTGCATCCTTGCTGGTCTCGCCACCTGAGCACAATCATCTGCCTTGCCTGCTGGCATGCCTCGATGTGCTTCCGCCTCCACGCCATGTTAGCGCAATGGGGGCTTATCATATCCCACCTCAGATGGAGGCATTGTCCGCTGGTATCCAAAATAATCACCTCTCTGATTAATGCCCCTCCTTGGAACTGTACTGGGGGGGGGGGACGATTTTGGTCTGGCACGTATGGTATGCCAGTACCGCAACATGCTAGTGATGAACAGGTCAAGCATGGTGATTTGGTATCGCAAGGTTGATTGCAATTCTCCATTCAGTATGATTTATCCGAGTGTGGTTTGCCACGCTGAAGGAACATCGACGCCATAGACTTGTGTGAGGGCCGATGTGCGAAAAGCAGCAACTCGTCTTGTATGTCAAGTTGGGCCCTTCCCTCCTCACGGTAACTAATCAAATCTGCCTTCTTCCCCTGCTTACTTGCTCGTCCCTGGTGGTGGCAGCTTTGGCGTGGTGATGCTGGTGGTGCTCACGGCACGCAAGGCTGTCCATGTGACGGAGGACAGCCACACCACCCTCAAGCAATGGGTGAGGCACAAGAAGTATTGGTGCCCAAAATTACACACGGACCAGCTTTCTGCGCCAAGCAGCTGCACTCCCTCTTTTGCACAATCATGCGAGATACCAACTCTAGTAAACTTGTACCCTTCACAACCACACTCATTGAGCTGTTTGTTCGGTGATCTCTCAGCATTGATTGGTCAATGTTTCTTGCACCTCTGAGAGCCTTTCACTTTACGTGCTTCTTTGCAATCCCTGCAGGTGGCTCCGCTGGTGGCATCCAACGCAGTGGCGGCATTCAAGGACCCTCGCTTGGAAGCACCGGATGACTTGGTGCTGCGCATGGCTCGCCTTGCCCTCTCCTGCACTGCCATGCCCGCTGCCTCCCGTCCCTCTATAAATGGAGTGCTCACAGCGCTGCTGGCAATGAGGGAAGAGGTTCTTGGGGCAGAGGCAATGGGGGCTGCAGCACGCATTGACAGTGAGATTGACCCTGGAGATGCTGTGGACTTCAATGCTGAGATAGCTCGTGCGAATGACATGGCCATGCAAAGATCCTCTTCTAATGCTTGACAAGGCTCTCATTTTGTTTGAACTATTGCATGTAAAAAGGATGCATGGGTGGCTTAGGTTTGTTGGTTATGCTCATCGCTCTGCATCCCCATTTACGGCCTGTTGACTATAGCTCCTGTGGCCCCCGCAATCTCCATTATCTATATTCGTGATGGAAATTAAACATTTCTTCTGCAACTCATAATGCGATCATTTTTAAGAAAGTTAATAAAATACACTGGCAAGAAAGTCCAGAAACCACAGCAGAATAAGAATTCTTTCTAACGCAGCAGCCTCCGAACCAAAATTGTGAACTTCCAAGGCTCTGCACGGCCAGCACGAACCTCGTTTCCCATCCCTAGTCCTTTTGCTCACCAGCTTCTTCGCGCATGTGGGCCCACCACTGATGTCTGTCGCTCAAGACTAACCCCCTCTAGACAACTAATTGTCACCTATACAAGAAGCTGCGATTTATGCAACTAACCCCCATCTAGACGACCTATGGCGACCCATTATCTTGATATTCGTCGACTACCGCTCTTCCATCTCTCCACCCTCGCACCTTGCGATCCCTTCCCGCTTTCACCCATTCTCCCGTTCTCCCGTTCATCCATCTGCACCCGTCTTCACCGCATGCTGCAGCTGCGCAGCGGCGTGCCGCACAGCTTCCAATTGTCGGGCCTGAAGCTCGCGCGCGGGAACTTGGCCAGGAGGAACGGTATTTGCCCGGACAGCCGGTTCCCGCCCAGCGCGAGCGACTTAAGCGTCAGGCGACTCCCGAGGTCCGTGGGAACGGACCCCTCGAGGTGATTATACGACAGGTCGAGCGCGCGGAGGGATCGCAGCGCGCCGAGCCCTGTGGGAATGGAGCTGCTGAAGTAGTTGCGGTTGAGGTCGAGGCGGTTGAGGAAGGAGAATTGCGAGAGCACGTTGGGGATGGGACCTGTGAAGTTGTTGCGCGACAGGTCGAGGTCCGTGAGCGTGGAGCGGCAGTTGAGCACGGACGCCGGCAGCGCGCCGCCCAGGCTGTTGTTGGCCAGGGAGAGCACCGCGGGGCAATTGGTGAGGTCGGGGATGGGGCCTGGCGGAAGGGCGCGGGGAGGGACGCGGGGAGGGGGGAGAGGGAGAGAGTGGGAGAGGGGCAGAGGCGGAGAGGGGGAGAGAGGGGGAGAGGGGTAGAGGTGGGGAGAAGGCAAGGGGGAAGGCAAGAGGGGGAGAGGTTAAGTGGGGAGGATGAGGGCGATGTGATTTTGCGATTGGCGTCACCTGCATGCAGCGAGGAAGAGGAAGAAAGAGCCCAGGCTCTTGGGGGACACTCCACCATCCCTCACACCTACGCATGCCAGCTTCCCTCTTCCTCTTCCCTCTCTTCCACACCCTCTCCCTATCCCTTCTCCACCTAATCCTTCTCTCCCCCTTGCCGTCACCACCCCCTCCCCCCTCCCCCCTCCCCCCTTCCCCCGTCCCCTCCTCTCCCTTCCCTCCCCCCATACTGCGCACCTGTGAGTCCGTTATTGCTGAGGTCCACATGCTGCAGCGTGCTGCGTGCGAACAGCTCCCCGGGCACTGTGCCGCCCAGCTTGTTCGCCTCCAGGTGCAGTCGCCGCAGCCCCGTCAGCTCGCTCACCCATGTGGGCACGCCCCCATCCAGCCGGTTCCATGTGAGGTCCAGGCTGGTGAGCGCAGTGAGCTGGCGCAGCGGTGCCAGGTCGCCGTCGATGCGGTTGAAGCTCAGGTCCAGGTGCTTGGCGCGCGCCACGCCCCCAGCCCCGTCCACGAGGAAGGTTGCAGGGATCCCTTGCTCGATGGAGTTGTGGCCCAGGTTGACGCGCTCCGTGTGGTGCATGTTCTGGAAGGGGCTCAGCGTGTACAGCAGGTTGTAGCTCAGGTCGAGAACCTTCTGCGGGGCTTTCGCCGCGTCGGAGAAGACCGATGCCAGCACGCCGTCGAAGCCGTTGTTCTGCGCGTACAGGGCATGTTTGGCGGACACCCCCAGCGTGCCGTACAGCGAGTTGTGGCTCAGGTCCAGGTGCTGCAGGTCGAGCTCGCGGAGATTGGTGGGCACGCTGCTGTACATGCGGTTCCACCCCAGGTTGATGTGCGTCAGGCGGTCCAGGTGGTGCAGAGTGGTGGGGAAATCCCCCGTCAGCCGGTTGTGGCTCACGTCCAGGTGCTTCAGGTTGCGGTACGACGAGTCGGCGACGGAGGGGAAGGCCCCGGTGAGGTAGTTGTGGTGCAGGTGCAGCTCCTCCAGCGAGTGCATGTTGAGGATGGCAGCGGGTATGCTGTTGTACAGCCGGTTGTGGCTCAGGTCCATGAGCTTGAGGCTAGACATCTGGCTGAACACGGAGGGGATGAAGTCGGTGATCAGGTTGCCTGCGATCTTCAGGTGCAGCAGGTTGTGCTGCGATGCCAGGCCCCACGGCAGCTTGCCTGAGAAGCGGTTGAAGCTGAGGTCCAGGGTGCGCAGCGAGTTGATGGCGGACAGGAAGTTGGGGATGTTGCTGGTGAAGCGGTTGAAGCTCAGGTCCAGGCTCTCGAGGTTGCGCATGGCGGTGAGGGCGTTGGGCAGGGAGTCGGAGAGCAGGTTGTGCGCCAGCTCCAGGTGGCGCAGCGTGGTCGAGTAGTTCTGCGGGCTGGTGGGCAGGTTCCCGTACAGCCCCGCGTTGCTGATGCGCAGCGTGTGGATGGACGGGATGCGGAAGAGGTGCTGCGGCACGCGCGACCGCAGGCGCGAGTTGAAGCTCAGGTCCAGCGCTGTGAGGCGCTGCAGGTTGGTGAGCGCGGAGGGGATGGCACCGCGCAGGTTGTTGCAGGAGAAGTTGAGCGTCTGCAGGTACGCCAGCGAGCCCAGCGCGGAGTGCAGCGTGCCCTCCAGCATGGTGCTGGCGGGGGGGTCGCTGCACTGCGAATACTCGATGTGCACCACGCGCCCGTACTCACACGAGATGCCTGCGCGCGAGCACACGGGCTCCAGCAGCCCGCCACCGCTCATGCCCGCCCCTGCGGCGTTGAATATGGCGTTCACTGCTGCCATGTCGTCCGCGTGTGCAGCCAGGGTGAGGAAGGAGAGCAGCAGCAGGAGGAGGAGAGCGGTGACGCGAAGGCGCGTTGCAGCCATTGTGTTGAGGTGGTGGTTGATCGCGCTTGCAAGGACGGGACGAGGAGAGAGGTGAGTTCCAGTGTGCTAGCTCTGATTCGGTCTTGTTCTGGAAATTGGGTAATGGTGTAGGAGCTTAGTGGAGTGGTTGCGTGCTGCTTGTTTCTGATAGGGAGGGTCGAGTTGTTCGAGGGGATTCACGGTGTTATGACGAGCAGCTAGCATTGGCCACCTCGGCTCAAATCAAGGCCGAAAGCGCGGTTCGGCGGATGTCCAAGAAAGCAAGATTTCGCCGTCACCACTTCGCGCTTCGATCTCGAGTCGCGGCGCGCGTAAGTCGTACGAACCGTCCACACGAGCGCTCATGGCTTCACATGCCAAGCTCTTCCGCGCTGGAGGCCTGCGGACATGGATATGGGGGAACTGCGCTTAGCTGGGCAGGGGAGAGGGCCCATGCACGCCTGTCTTGCACTGCTATGCTGGGACGCGGGTGGCATGCTTGAGCATGAGATGACAGGGCATTCGTGTTAGGGCAATTTTTTGAGTTCGTGGAGGAGGATAGGGCGCGTGACATTTTGGACGTATCGGGATATGGTGCGCAATTCTAGCTGGTTACCGGATTGGCGAATTTGGCGGAAAATCGCGAATACCATTGAGATTTTACGTCACATCCAAGTTCGTCCCGCTAAACAAAAAGGGCTCGTTCGAGCGAGCTCGAAACTACCAGACCAACGTCCGAACTTGACGTAAAGCTTGACGGCACACGAGCCGTTCATAACGTGCGATTATCCGAATTTTCATGCACAATCGGGAGCGGTTGGTAATTGGCAGTGACTCGTAAACGTTGGTTTCGTCAGACGCGCCGCGTCGATTCGCGGTCGTCGCACGGCCTGAACGAACAGTGGCGATGCTGCCTAATCGTCTGTGGACTATGGACGTCCGTGCGGACGTACCGCGTTGTGCCCTTAGGTTGCCGAATACAGCTTGCAAATTTTGCAACTGTGCAGCCTGTTTTTCGAGCCTCGAATGTTGACGAGTTCGAACCCGTTGTACGTTCTCGGGTATGGACTTCTGCATTTTTTTTCTCTATGTCACGCGCCCTTAGGACGTGTCACTGATTTTCGTTGTAACATAGAAGACCCTACCCAACCATTTGGGAGAGACGCTAAACCGTTAAAAAACGCACCGAACCGTAATAATGTGAACCCGTAAAGCGGATGCTGCTGTGTCAGCATGTCTCTCGCACTGGCGAAGTCCTAGACCAAAGTGCTGGCGTGACATCGGAGCACGTGGTAATCGAGATTGTTTCGCGCGACGTGCGAGTTCGTTGCGACGAACAGGTTAGGCGGTGAGAGCATTCTGATCATTAGCTTATGACACACAGTTGGCTGAGCAGCAATTCGTCGGGCTGTTCAACCACGCTTGAATGAGCCTCGGAAAATCCTTTCGTCCTCTCCTCCCCACTTTCGTCGCCCGGAAATGTCATTTGCAGCTCTTGTCAGATGACGTCAATGAACGAGAAACCCTCAAAATTTAGAAACTTGCCCTTGCCGTACAGTCCTGGGTGGTGCGCTCCTTGCTTGTACGAGAAACACGTCAGCGAAATCGCGCGCGGTAACTCTGTTGACAAAGCCGTGCTTCAACTGTACTTTTCTTCCGCGTCGCGCTGGTTTCTTGATGCGCGCTTCGATGTCTTGCACTGCACTTCCACTTGCCACCGAGCCGACATTCCCCAGGTAGGAATTCATATTCCGCTCAAATCTCATGCTGCGATACTGGCTTGGTCTTCAAACACACACTTCACCTGTCTCCTGACTATTCCCCGTACTGTGTCGTTCTCGGGTCACATTCTTGGCCGCGAAGTACTACTTGCTTCGATCCGCACTTGGGCAAGATTTATACCGCAGGAACGTCCAACCCCGACGATCGGCGATCGACTCACCAGCCGCAATTACCGCTGGCAATACGCTCACACACACTCACAGACATACACTGACGCCATCACCAACCCAATCGCTGCTCAAAGACGAGAAATGCTTGCGTCAACGCCGTCCACATCATCCCAGCGCCGCCTGCTGATGCCGGCAGCGGCGCTCGTCGGGCTCATTCTCTCCACTGCCGGCGTGCTCCCCGCGCTGGCCGGCGAAAAGGAGGCTCTCCTCAACCTCAAGTCCGTCTTAGCCGCCAGTTTCCTCACCTCGTGGGACGTCGCCCAGCCGCTCTGCCCGGGGACTTGGCAGGGCGTCGCGTGCGACTCCAGCAACCACGTTTCGTCGCTCGTGCTGTCGCCATGCGCGCCGTCGACCCCGTCGCCCATGCTCGAGGGCCCCTTGGCGGACGCGACGGGCTTCTCCGAACTCAGCGAGCTCTTGGCTCTCGACCTGTCGTGCAACCGCTTCTCCAAGAGCATGCCCAGCGCGCTCACGACGCTCTCGAAGCTCACGCTGCTGAACCTCGCGAGGGACAACGACTTCGAAGGGCCCATTCCCGACGGGCTCCTCGCAATGCCCGCCCTCGCGTACCTCGACCTCTCCGACACCAACCTCACGGGACGCCTGCCCACGGCGGCGGGGTCGTACACGCCCACGCTCTCGCACCTGGACCTGTCGTACAACGACCTCACGTTCGACCTGCCGTGGGAAATGAGCGCGCTGTCGAACCTGCAGTACCTCAACGTGCGTGCCAACCGCTTCAACAACTCCGACACGCCCATCTCCGCGTTTTCCTACATGACCCGCCTCACCTTCCTCGACATTTCTGATAATCTTCTCACGTGCGACCTGCCGTCGGGGGTTGGGCTCAGCGTGCCGGGCCTCGTGCACCTGGCGGCCGGCAGCAACCGGCTGGACGGCAGCATACCGGCGTCTTTCACACACCTGACGGCGCTCACGTTCCTCGACGTGGGGTACAACGCGCTAACGGGCTCCATCCCGTACTCGCTACTGAGTCTCCCGCACCTCGTTGAAGCGCACCTGGGGCACAACTCCTTCGGAGCGAGGTTCCCCGCGCGCATGCCCACGCCCACGCTGCGCTTCTTGGATGTCGGGTGGAACGAGCTGAGCGGCGCGCTTCCGACTCTCATCATCCGCAGCACGGGCCTCCTGCACCTGGACCTCAGCCACAACCACTTCACGGGGACCATCCCCCCCGAGTGGCGCAAGCTCGTCAATCTCCGCCACATCGACGTGGGCTTTAACGACCTCAGGGGGTCGATCCCCGGCGCGTTCCAGGCGCTGACGAACCTGGAGGCGTTCTATGCGCCGCACAACCGGCTGTCGGGCGCGTCGATCGGCGCGTTCGGCGTGCGCGACCACGAGACGCGCTTCTACCTGGACCTCAGCTACAACCACATGGGCGGCACGCTGCGGCGGCTCGGCGCGCTGTACAGCTTCGTGGACCTGAACCTCGCGCACAACTACCTCCGCGGATCCGTGCCCCGCCGCATGTTCCAAGGGGTCAAACTGGCGGCCCTAGACCTGAGCTATAACAGACTATGGGGCGTGATGGACGCTTTCACGGCGCTGACGAACCTGACGAGCTTGAACCTGGCGGGGAATAAGCTCTCGGGCACCATTCCCACCAAGATGAGCAACTTGAACAAGCTGCAGCGCCTCGTGCTCGCGCACAACGCGCTGTCCGGGAGCGTGCCCGAGTCCGTGACGTCCAGCAGCCGGCTGGTGAAGCTGGACCTCAGCAGCAACGCCTTGTCTGGTGAGCGAGAGGTTGCGGGTTCGATCACCTTAATACCTGGAATGATTTGGCTTTCTTTCTTTGGATTGCTGAAAAATACCTATTCCATGGATCAAATTATCGCCAGCTCCATGTTGCGACTTGAGCATGATTCCACCTCCCGCCAAGCCCCAGACTTGGCTTCTCACACGCCGTCCCCTTCACTCAATAATCCACTCCCTGCTCCCCCCAATGCCCTTCCCCACTCCCCCCCCCCCCCCCCCCCACGTCCCCCCTCCCCAACCCCCGTGTCCAGGCAAGCTTCCGCAGATCAACCACTGCCCGGAGGAGCTGAACCTAGCGAACAACATCTTCACGGACATGCTTCCCGACATCGGCTCCTGTGCCGCCAGCGCGGAGCGCATCGACTTCTCCAACAACCAGCTCACGGGCAGCATCCCCACTGTCATCGCGCACTTCTCGTACCTGAGCCACCTCTCCTTCTCCCGCAACCTCATGAACGGCACCATCCCTGAGGAATTCTCTGCGCTGCGCAGCCTGCGCGTGCTGGACCTGTCGTGGAACCAGTTCAAGGGGTCCATCCCGAGCGGGCTGGGGCTGTCTGAGGCTCTGCAGCAGGTGTTTCTGGCGGGGAACCAGCTGGACGGGACGATACCTGATGGCATGGCGGCTTTTTCCATGGCGACGTTTGAGCCTGGGAACGACTTCCTGTGTGGAGAGCCTGTGAAACAGTGCATCATTTGAGGTGCTTCCCAGCAGGCCTCTGTTCCTAGCCCAGGGTAAACAGTAGAGATGCTACACTCCAGGGTCCACCACACCACACCCTTCCCTTCCCTTCCCCGCCTACACCATCCTTCTCCCGCCCACCCCATCCTTCTACCACCCTTCACTTCGCCTACCAATACTTCTGTTTCTTCTGTTTTCCCATACCGGTACTATTTCTCCATTGCACCTCCCATTCCAGGTTCTTACTTCGATACTTGGGGCGAGCTGTAGGTAGGTAGGTTAGTATGTTACTTGCAGTCAAACTGTAGATTGAGATCAACATTTGGATACGCAGTGGATCCTTCTTGTATAGTCAATACGTAGCATGAGGGAAGTGTAGAAGGGAGAGAATCGTAACTCGTGGAGTGGAGACGAGAAATGCCCCATTTACCACGTTCTGATGAGTCACATGTTGCTTGGTAATTGGAACTTGGTGGTGATGTGCTGTCATTCTTCTTGGTGCTCAGGAGGAGCACCGTTGTTTGTTACGCTGAGCTGAGCAGCAGCACATCTGGTGGCATGCATCACGATGCTGTACAACTGTCCTCTCAACGCCTCATCACAGAAATGCCGTAATCTCCTGGCATGAGCACCCTAGGTCTTGCTAAAGTTTCAGAAAAAAAAACGTTGGGGTGGACAATAAGGCGGATGGTAATTATGAGGACCCATGTGCACTTAATTACTATATAAGTTGGTTTATTTTACCATGTAGTAGTTTGAGATTAGTCCTTACAGAAGGTTCCTATACGGGGGTCAGTGAGCAGAATTCTTTTCCTCGCGTCGTGAACCCATTACGAAGGCCACACGTCACGTTTTCACCCAGCCAGGCAGGGTTCTGTCAACATATATATTTGTATATGTTTATAGGCTAGCTAGGAGCACACCTTAGAGAGTACAACACTTAGAACAGAACTACCCTGTATGCCCTATTCTAGTAAACTCGCTACTTTGAGATGGTATCACGCTAGGCTAGGTCCTCCTCGCCCACCCACGCTTCCGCCTTAGCCCTAGTCCTAGCCCAAGTCTTAGCTCTAGTCCTAGCCCTAGTCCTAGCCTGCAGGCCCCGCTCGTCGCCCCGCGCTCGTAGGCCCGCCCTCGTCGCCCCGCGCTCGCTGGCCCGCCCTCGTAGCTGCGTGCTCACTGGCCCAGCTCGTCACCCCGTGCTCGTAGGCCCGCCCTCGTCGCCCCGCGCTCGCTGGCACGTCCTCGTAGCCCCGCGCTCGCTGGCCCGCCCTCGTCGCCCCGCGCTCGCTGGCCCGTGCTCGCTGGCCAAAGCTAGCCGGCCCCGCGCTCGCTGGTCCACGCCCGCTGGCCCTGTGCTCGCTGGCCCACGCCCACTGGCCCCGCGCTCGCTGGCCTGCGCTCGCCGGCTTTGCGCTCGCTGGCCCCGAGCGGACCGGCCCCCTAGCTCGCTGGCCCCTCGTTTGCCGGACCCAACTCGCCAGCCTCTTACTAGCCGGCCCCTCACTAGCCGGCCCCCAGCTCGCCCCCCCCCCCCCTTTTACTCGCTGGCCCCTTCCTTGCGGGTCTCCCTCGCGCTGACCCCGGTCCCGCCGTGCCGCCATGGCGCCGTGCTGACGTGCCGCTGTAACGCCGCGCCGCCGTGACGTCGTGCTACTGTGTCGCCGTGCCGCCGTGCCGCCGTGCTGCCGTGTCGCCGTGCCGCCGTGCCGCCGTGTCGTCGTGCCGTTGTGCCGCCATGTCGCCGGGTCGCCGTGCCGCTGTATCGCCGTGCCGTCGTGCCGCCGTCAGCCGATGAGGTCGTGGGATGGCTGACGTTGTGCTCCGCCTGGACGCCGAGGGTCAGGCGATCGACTTTGAGGCCTGGCTCGTCGACCTTCGCCGTCACCTGACAGGTCAGCGCCAGGACGGGTACTCTCTGACTGTTCATGTCGATGGTCTGCTTCCCCATCCCGCCGCACCTGCTGCCCTCCCTGATGCCCCCACCCCTGCTGAGCGTGAGGCCTTTTCCGCTGCTGTGCTTGCGCGTGCTGTCTGGGAGTCGCGCGACGCCGTAGTGCAGCTTGCTATTAGTCACGCCATTACCCTGTCTGAGCGTCCCCACTTAACCACTATAGCAAACGCCAAGGAATTCTTAGATGCAGTCGTTGCACGCTATTCCATGCCCGCCACAGCCTCTGCTGACCACCTGATCCTCCCCATGCTGTTCCCTGATCTTGCGTCCTTCCTCACTGTCGCTGACCTTGCCACTCACCTCCGCGCCCTTGAGACTAGCTACCGTGCCGCTAGCACTGAGGCCCGGCTCACTGCATTCCCGCCGCCGCTTTGCGCTACCTTGTACCTGATTGCAACACGCCTCCCGGACCGCCTTGCCATTTCCCGAGACCACTTCCATAGTCTGAACCCTGGTGACCTCACCCTTACCGCCTTTGTCACCGCCCTAACCGAGATAGAGACCCGTCAGCGCAATATCGCTCAGTCTAGCGGTACTGTCGCGGTCCCTATCTTTCATGGGCTGTGCTCCCTCCCAGTGCACTTGCTCTGACGTTTCTGCCGCTTTCACTGAGACAACCCCTGCTATTGAGACCGCCTCTGCGGCCTCAGCGAAGCCGCGTCAAGGTAGGGGTCGCCGCCCCAAGGGGGGGCGTGGCGGAGGGAAGGGTGGTGGGGGTGGTGGGGGTGGTGGAGGTGGGGGCGGGGACGGTGGTTCAGACGAGGGGACCGGGGCTGGTGGCCCGGAGCAGCAGTAGCAGAAGCCTCAGCAACAGCAGCAGCCTCAGCAGCACTCCTGGGATCTCCATAAAGCCCCAAAAAAAAAAACAAAAACAAAAAACAAAAAAAAACCTCTCCAGCAGCAGCCGCAGTCGCAGTAGCAGCAGCAGTAGCAGTCGCAGTAGCAGCAGCAGCAGTCGCAGCAGCAGTCGCAGCAGCAGCCGCAGCAGTAGGGTCGCCTCCCGCCGGGGTGGCCCGGTGCCTTTGGTGGTGGTGGCCCCAGTGTCGGCCCTCACAGCTCGGCGTCAGGTGGTAGCTTCGGCCCTGTAGGTTGCCAGTACCAGTTCCACCGGCCCCCTCCGCGGCACTCTGTGTGGCCGTCCCAGCCACACTGCTGCCCGCTGCTTCCGCCGCCTCAACGACCTCTTCCTTCTCCGTTTCGGCCCTGCGCCGCACCTCTCCGACTGGCCCAGTCTTGTGCGCCGCCGTGTTCCGGTCTTTGAGATGGATATGGATCAGATTTGCACAGCCTTGCATGCCATGTGTGTCGGTGACTCTAGTGTACCCGGAACTTATTACCTTGTGTTGCCTAGTGTAGGTGTGCCACCTGAGTATAGTGTAGGCTCCCCTGCTGTGTCAGGCATAGGACCATCTGCCTTGTTTAGCCTAGGCTCCACGCTAGCCCCTCCGCCGGCTGCCGCCATCGCTTCGCTCTCTTTCACGCTCGACTCAGGTGCGTCTGCCTGCTTCTTCCGCGACCACACTACGCTCACGCCGCTTGTCGCCACTGCCGCTATCGCGCTAGCTGACCCCTCCTAAGGTCTGGTAGTTGCCCGTAGCTCCACTACCCTTCCCTGTCCGGCAGCTCCCTCGGGCTATCTTAAATGCCTGCACATCCTCTCGTTCTCTAGGAACCTACTTGGTGTTGGCTGTCTTCAAGACCTTGGCGTCACCACGACGTTCCCTGGACAACAGGGGTACGCGGTCTGTACCGAGGCCGCCACAGGTGCTCCCCTCACCACATTCCCCCGGGACTCGGTGTCTGGCCTCTTTACGCTTGCCATCGCACCCCCCTTGGTGAGGGCACCTTCCCAAGTGCCTACGTCCACCCAGGTCGCTGCGGCTTGCTCGTGTCGATCGTTCACTCACCCGTCGTTTCTATGGTACCACCACCTAGGTCACCCCGCCCTCCCGTGCATGCGTGACATGTCCCAGCACAGTCTTGTCCTGTAGGTCTCCCCGCGTTGCTCCCTGCCCTCCCTCCCTTCCCTGCACTGCCGTACACGCCCTTCGTTGAGGGCCGGTTGTGTCGTGCTCCTCACTCCTCCTCGCTTCACCCTGCCACCGCACCACTCCAATCCCTGAACCTGGACGTTTGGAGCCCAACCCCCGTCCCAGGGCCGCGCCGAGAGCGCTACTTTCTAGTGCTTGTCGACACTACACGAGTAACACCACAGTGTTTCCCTTGGAGCATAAGGCTGACGTGCCTGACGATCTCATCCCGTGGATGGTCACTACGCGAGTCCACTACGGCCTCCCCGTGCTTTGTCTTTACTCCGACCGTGGTTGCGAGTTTGCCTCCGGCCGGCTTGGCCAGTTCTATCGTGCGGAGGGCATCACCCAGTCGTACACCCTGCCGGACTCTCCGCAGCAAAATGGGGTCGCTGTGTGTCACATCGGTTAGGTCATGGAGGTGGCTCGTACCTCTATGATCCATGCCGATGCACCCCATTTTCTGTGGTCGTTCGCTGTTCGCTACGCCGCTCACCAGCTTAACCTTTGGCCGCACTCCCAGCGGCCGCAGGTTTCGCCGACCCTTCACTGGACCGGGTTCCCTGGTGACGCGTATGCGTTCCACGTATGGGGCTGCCTTGCCCACGTTCGTGCCTCTGGCACGGACAAGCTCACTGCCCGCACTGTCCCCTGTGTCCTCCTTGGCTTCCCCCTAGACGCGTCTGTCTGGCACTTTTACCACCCACCGTCTCACCGCTTGTTTCACTCGCGTGACGTCACTTTTGACGAGTCTGTCTCTTTCTACCACCGCTTTCCCCACCTAGGTGTCCCAGTTTTCCCGCCCCTGTTTCGGGTTCCCATTCCCCCAATAGCCCCTGCTCCTCTCCTTCCCCGTCGTGCCCCGTTTCGTGTGTCTGACATCACTCCCCTCCCGTTGGTTGTCCCGGTCGAGGAGTCGGCTGACTCTCGTGGCCCCGCGACGTTGTTCTTGCCGCTTGTCCCCCCCCCAATCTCTCCTCCTTTGCCATCGCAGCAGCAGCAGCCGTCGCCGCCGCCGCAGCAGCCGCAGTCGCCGCCGCCGCAGTGGTCCGCAAGCTCCAGGGGTGCGGGCGATGAGCAGGGTGCTAGTCCTGGGGTTACTGCCCTGGCTTGTCCTGGCGGTCCTTGGAGTGGCACCGGTGCTAGAGAGGGTTCTCGTTCTAGGAATGTTCCCGTAGAGAGTCCCGGAGGCAGCCGTAGTGCAGCTGGAGGTTCTAGTGTCGGTGTGGAGCAGTAGCAACAGCAGCTGCCACAGGTGTCGGACCTTCGCCCCCTCGGTCATCCTTCCCCCGACCGCCCGCCTGCGCCTCCTCCGCCGCCGCCTCCCGTGCCTGTCTACGGCCCTGTGTTTCCTCCGTTGGCCTTGTCTCCGACTCGTTTCCCCCCTTGTTCTCCTCCTGTTTCTCCTCCTGTGTCTCCTGACCCGATGCCTCCGTCCCACTTCTGGTCTTGCCATCCCTCTTGTGCTCATCATGTCTCTCCTGTTCAATGTTCTCACCCTATGTTGCCTCGTTCACACGCGTCTCGTCCTCCCCTCCTCCCTTCGTCTCCTCCGTCATCGCTTGTTGTTGCTCCGCCTCCTCTGTCTGACTTCCTCGGTGCTTATAGCCATCTTGTTCCTCGGG